GTGTCATATACAAAAAAGCGGAATTTTTATATGTTAACGTGGTTTGAGAGCATTGTCTGCGCAACAACAAATAATTTATGGGATTAGATTTGCGTTTTACTCATTGTAGCTAGTGTAGGAAAAGAGAGGGTGTTGAAGCTGGAGCTAATGATCCAAAAATCGCTATAAAGATCTGAAACTCATGGATCTTTTGAGATGCCCATGCTCGGTTTGTGGAGTCGACGTTTTTGCTCTGCCGTCGGTAGGAAAAGCGTCATACTTCCAAGCGTAGCAGCTTTTCTGATGGTGCGTTCGGTTTTTAAGCAGTTAATAGTGATAGTAGATCTGCGGTTTTCTGACAGAATAGCAGCAAGTTTGTTTATAAAGATTAGTGTCTTCTTTTATTTTACCGTTATTTCGGGCTTTGTTGTAAAACCTACCCATTTGTCTTTTTATTGTGTCCTTTCATCTATACCTAGCCTACGCAGTGGATGTCCAATATGGGTAGCGTAGACAACGAAGCGGCTAACCAGTGCAATAGTAGCCTACCTCCGATACTCAATGGTATCAAAGAAGGGTGAATCGCACGGATCAACTTTGCAGTTGTTTACCCAAACGACCAGTATTTTCAGAACTTTTGTAACCTACACTATAGCAGAGCGATGGCCGAAAACGCTCGCAAAGGTTGTTGATCATGTACACTGCAAACGAAAAGAATTCATGGAGCAATATGGACCGGTGAGTGTGCATATTGGGCATTCTAATTGTTTTCTTCTTTTTCCTTATTCATCACATCTATCGTTCTACTTCAGGAAGCTGATGCAGACGTCAAATCAATCATACACGAATTGTCAGAACTTCGTTATCGCATCATGACTGATAAACCATTGGAAGATCTCACTGATACTGCCTACCATTACGATATGTGGAATAAATTGCTAGCAGATCTTCGAAAAGAGGTATCTGCTTAGTGTATTTGAGGAGTTAATGTAATGCTGTCACGTCGCTTGGCAGACGAGGAAAACTAAGCTGTAAAAATTGGTAGGACAACATGCGCTTCATTATATTGGTTTGATGAATTTCTTTACAGTACGGCGAAGAACAAGTCACCTGGTATAGGATGAGTTGGCTGTTCACAGAGTGCTTTCTGTACAGAAAGGTCGTAGGTGCTGTTGCCAAAACGAAGTATCTCAAAGATTTTGATATCTATAGGGAGCAGAAAGTAGAAGCATTTAATGGCCAGTGAGTTTGGGATCAGATTCTCTTGAACGATTATAACTCAGTTTTGCGATTTAGCCTCCAAGAAACGAAGGATGGTCTGGA